TCTTCTTCTTCTTCTTCTTCTTCTTCTTCTTCTTCTTCTTCTTCTTCTTCTTCTTCTTCTTCTTCCTCTTCCTCTTCCTCTTCTTCTTCTTCTTCTTCTTCCTCTTCTTCTTCTTCTTTTTTGTAAACCTAGCAGATAAGAGGCAGAGCCAGGAGGATTATAAGGTTAAGTTCAAATACAGAAGCAAGGCATTGCTTCAATGAAACACCATCACCACCGCCACCACCACCACCACCACCTTTGTTTTATGACTGTGAACTTTTGATGAGCTACAGTTAGTGTGTGGGAACTAGAGCAATCTATGAACTTAGAGAGAAAGCTGGGAAGCAGATTCTTAGGAAGTTTGGAAATGAAGAAAAATGTTTGTTTTGTAGTTTAATAATCATGGTGGATAGTGTTAAGAGACAGATACAGGAATGTGGTTGGTCAGTTCTAACTGTGCCATTGTATTATAGTTAATAGTAATAATAGTAAGCCAACAGCCCCACAGTAACAATCAGCAGACATTGCATATGTGCTGTGTACTGGAAGTTGTGACTTGGTGATTATTGTGTTACAGCTCATCTAAAACAGAATATCTCACGGATCCATATCCTTCTCATAACCCACAATATGTCAAAATCTTGTAATCTTTTACTTTTATATATTTAACTATAGGCTTTTTTGCTTGTTTGTTTTAGATGACTCAAAATTGAGGGGTCTAGCAGCCCCTAGCAACCTTTCCATGAACCAGAATCTTGAAGGGCACAGTGGTAAGTCATTTAACTTTTTAATTCTGTCATGTTTGAACAGCATTTAGACATTTATGCCATCATCTACTTAATGTATATGTTAAAAATATACATTTAATCAAATACTATTATTTAGATAATAATAATATTGAAGTAGTCATTTTTATTGAATCATAATTCATGTTCCAGAATAACTCATTTTGACAGAAATTAAATATCATCTCTGATAAACCTGAAAAAAACCTGGCTCTTAGTTATACATTACAAACTTGTATTATTTATCTGTGGGGTTTTAAATGTATATTATTCTCTTGAAGGATCTGTTCTGTGATTCCAACTTAAAGTAGACTAAAAGTATATAATGCCTGAAAAACCTTGGGAGACCCTAGCGTGAGAAAGACAAGTCCTATTCAGGACACTTTCTTGAGAGCTGATGATGTCTAAATGGACTGTATTAGATGGTGTCTCTCCAGCGTTAATTTCTTAATTTGTAATGTGGGTTGTAAAGGGAATATCATTAGGAAATACACACTAAAGTATTTAGGGATAAGAAAATGAAACCAGTCATTCATAGAACATAGAGCAGTGTTTCCCAACCTTCCTAGCACTGTAACCCTTTAATACAGTTCCTCATGTTGTGGTGACCCCCAATCATAAGATTGTTTTTGTTGCTACTTCATAGCTGCAATTTTGCTATTGTTATGAATTGTGACGTAAACATCTGCTGTGCAGGATAGCTGATATGTGACCCCTGTGAAAAGGGGTTTGACCTCTAGAGGGGTTGCTATCCACAGGCTGAAAACCACTGACACAGAGGCTGAAGCTGTACCCAGGAGTGTGGAACAGAATGGAAACTGGGTGGAAGAAAAAGAGAAAATAAAGTATGGGACAGACCAACCAAGAGCAAACAAATACCCCAAAGGACAGCTTGGCATCCTTATGACATTTTTATGCTTTTAGGCCAGTTTGGTGATTGTGCCTCTATCTGCTCCACATGAGCTCTATGGAAGCGCTGTCAGCTGGCTGTGAGAGAGGCCTTTGAAGGTGTGAGATGGGGACGTATGAAAGAATATTTGCATTGTTGCAGACAGTAATATCAGCAACTGCATCCCATGAATATTTTTATACTTATATCTTACTTAATACTAAAGACAGACTGTACGCTAATATATTAACATCCTCTTGGTGTTCATTTACACAAAGGTACAAACTTGAAATGAATTATAGACATTTTAGAATTTCTGAATTGTTATTTTAATGTTCTAGGTGCTGTTCAAGTTGTAACATGGAATGAACAGTATCAGAAGTTGACTACCAGTGATCAGAATGGGCTTATCATTGTCTGGATGTTGTATAAAGGTATATTAGAAGAGTTGCTTGAAAAATTATTTTACTGTTGTGTGTGTGTATATGCACATTTGTGTGAGTGTATGCACACTTGTGTTTGTGTGTATGCACACTTGTGTATGGTTACCCTTGGAGGTCAGAAGAGGATGTTAGATCCCTTGAAGCTGGAGTTACTGGCTATTGTGAACTGCCTGATGTGGGTGCTGGGGACTGAACTCTGGTCCTCTGCAAGACCTAAGCAAATGCCCTTATCCACCGGGTCATGTCTCCAGCCTGTGAGAGCTGCTTACATTTTTTAAAATTACACTTTATATATCTCTCGTTTGTGTATATGTGTGTGCATGCACATGTGCCACACATGTGGCGGTTGGAGGACAATTTGTGGGAGTTGGTTCTTTTTACCATGTGGGATCCCAGGATTGAACTAAGGTCGCCAGCCTTGACAGCAAGCACCTTTACCCTCTGAGCCATCTCGGTGGTTCAGGACGGTTGCTTTGATCATTCACAAAGCAGAGTCTGAACAGCGTTTGGATGGGGAAATAACGTCTCTGAAATAGACTTGTAACCGGCAGAAAGAGTTCATCCTGTTCTTTGATCTGTGACCCTGCGTTAGGAAAATGAACCAGGTGACTGCTGACATTGCCACAATGAGCCGAGACACTTAGAATAGTTTCCATATGAAGCAATTCCTTCCCCCACGTTTCCAATAGGAGTTATGCCTGTGTGGTCAGCTGGAGTTAGTATTAGATAAAAACACATTTATGAAGAAGTCAAAGGCAAGACTGCCTTTATTGTATTTCCTGTATTGAGCCTGTTAGCTTCTTTTTCTTTTGTGGATTCAATTCCTCTCATCTCTGATGAATGACTCACAGTTTCTGCCTCTTGTCTCAGAGAGAACTCCGGTGGAGGCGGATAGGGTGGGGCGCATGGAGGTTAGGGGTTAGGGGATAGGAGAGGAAGAGAAGGATTAACTTAGATGGGTCTGTTACTGGAAAAACAGCTCAGTACTTATTCTTTTGGAGACTGGGAAAGGCTTAGTTAAATATGTACAGCTGTAAAAAGATTCAGGACATTCCGTCTATAAATTATTATTAATATTTATTTTTCATTATGTGCATGTGTGCCCACTGGGTGTGCACGTGAGAGTAGGTGTCAGGTCCCTCTGGAGTGGGAGGTCTAGGCGGTTGTGAACTACCTAGCATGGGTGCTGGGACTTGAACTTGGGTCCTCTAGAAGAGCCGCTGTATATGCTTGTAACTGCTGAGTCATCTCGCCTGCCTCCCATTTATGAATTCATTACTAAAGTAGGTTTTGCTTGATTGCTTTGAATTGTGTGCCTCTGCATGTGTGTGTGTGTGTGTGTGTGTGTGTGTGTGTGTGTAGGCACAACATGATACAATGTATGTGTTGAGATGAAAGATAGCTTTTGAAAGTCACTCTGTCCTGCTGTGTGAATTCCAGGGATAGAACACTGGTCCTCAGGCTTGGTGGCAAGCACCCTTACCTGTTGAGCTATATCTCTAAAGTCATGTTTAAAAAACTTCAAAAGCAGGCTGGGTAGTGGTGGCCCATGCCTTTAATCCCAGCACTCGGAAGGCAGAGGCAAGTGGATCTCTGTGAGTTCGAGGCCAACCCAGTCTACAAGAGCTAGTTCCAGGACAGGCTCCAAACCTACAGAGAAACCCTGTCTCGAAAAACCAAAACCAAACAAACAAACAAACAAAAAACCAAAAGCAGGCTTAGAGTTTTAAACTAATAGTCTACATGCTTTAATGGAATATGCTTGTATTTTTAATCATAACTAATGATGAATCATAGAGAGCTTATGTATACGTGTAAAGCTGTTATTGTTACTTTCTTCCTCACTGTCTGAAATTTATCATTTATGGGAAAACCTGAGCTTTCAGAAAAATCAGCTATTTTAGCCCCGAAAAAGCAAATGAAATTTCATTTTCTCTTTTAAAAATTATTTATTTTATGTGCATTATTGTTTTTCCTGCATGTCTCTCTGTGAGGGTGTTGGAGCCCCTGGAACTAAGGTTACAGGCAGTTGTGAGTTGCCACGTGAGTGTTGGGATTTAACCAGGGTCCTCTGGAAGAGCAGTTAGTGCTCTTAACTGCTGAACCATCTCTCCAGCCCCTGTAATTTCATTTTCTTAATTTACAAGAAGAGAGAAATAAAAATTAAAAGAGGAATGTTTGTTGTATTTTCTATAATAATTTTGGAGTAATTAGGAAAAATACATAATCAAACTTTTAGTTTTGTTTACGGCGGGTTTGAACGCTTTAAAGTTAAATGCCTTATGTTATAGAAACTTTTACAATAATTTATCCAACGGTGAATTCTTTGGATGTTAGCGACTTTTTCTTTTTTCTTTCTTAAACAGGGTCTTGCTATATGTAGCCACAACCTAGCCTCAAACTTTTGATCCTCCTGCCTCAGCCTCTGAAATTCTGGGATTAATGGTATACAGGATAATACCCAGAAAATATTATCAACCCTTAAGTACCAAATGATAAATGTGAAAGTTTTTTTTTCCTCCCTTTGATTTTTTTCAAGACAGGGTTTCTCTGTGTAGCCCTGGCTGTCCTAGAACTCACTCTGTAGACCAGGCTGGCCTCAAACTCAGAAATTCTCCTGCTTCTGCCTCCCACGTGCCGAGAGATGTGTGTCACCATGCCTGGCCCACTAAGTGTGCAGGTTTTGACTTGTAGTTTTTTTTACTTGTGAACACAGGCTCTTGGTATGAGGAGATGATCAACAACCGCAATAAGTCGGTGGTTCGCAGTATGAGCTGGAACGCTGACGGCCAGAAGATCTGCATTGTGTATGAAGACGGAGCTGTGATAGTTGGCTCCGTGGACGGTAATGCAGCCACTGGTTGGGAAATAGACACTGAAGAAGAGAGCACCTGTTATATTACTTGGTGACATTAGGAACCACTGTGTGGCTCTAACTACTCGTCTTTATTTTCAGGACAAATTTTTTGTTTCAGTGTCCTGCAGTGATATGGAAAGCAGGTGGATTAATTTCCTGGTATCATTTTAAATATGATCTTCATATCAGTTAGATTGTATAGAAATGTAGATTTTAGTTTCAGAGGGATAAAATTACAGAAATCTTTCAGCTGAACAGCATGCCATTGACATATTTTCTAGCCTTAACGTCACTTTCTTTCAAATTATAGCACATACATAACACTGGGCCTTCTGTGAGCCTGCAACTTGGTTTTAATATAAAAAAAAATTCCTACGGAAATCGTTTTAAAATAATTTTCATTCATTTATTTATTTGTGTGTGGTTATTGGAGTAGTTCAGTGTTGGTGAGCCTCGAAAGCAGTTGCTGTAGTTTGGGAATTAATGGCACAGCTGGGAGACGCATCCCTGACCTAGATCAGAAGTGATCATAGGAAAACAGGCACTCACGCATCAGCGGTCAGCGCTACAACAGGGAGCATTCAGGAATGTGTGGAAAATCATCACACACAGATAGGGCGAGATCAGGGAGGCTTCCTGGAGGAGGAGATGCATGTTGACACATCCATTATCCACAGGTAGATGAGTAGAATGTCTCAGGGCTAAGGAATAGCTTGGAAAAAGAATTTCACCCATACACTGAAAATAGATGTCTTGGAGACAAAGGCCCTTGGAAGTAAAGACTATCAAGAAGGAAGGGTGTGGTCCAAAAGACAGGCAAAGGTTAGAATAAGACCCACTGCCTATTGGCTTCAGCAACAGGCAGTCATGGCCTCCTGTACCAGAGGCATCAATGGAGGTGTGGAGCAGTGGCAGACTGGGATGGCTAAGGGGTGGAGAGGACTCTTAGGAAGGGAATCTGGCAGCACTCCGTAAATAGTAAAAACTGTGGCTGGGAGGGGTTGGTAGTAATTGGGTCGTAGTAGAGAGGAAGTTGAAGGTTGAAGGAAGGGCCTTTTGCTTCGTTGTTTTTATGTGAGATAATTAGGAGTTTGATGCACATTTAAAAGTTGTAAGAAGGATCAGAGAGAAAGTTGAAAGGAAAAGAGAGAAATGGGAGTTAACTAGAGGGAGATCTTTGTAAACCTGGGAAGGGTTGACGGCCCAGGTGGAAGGATTGGCCGCAGAAGAGCCCATCTGAGGAGCTCCCCTCTCATTGTGTTGGCACGGGCAGAAAGAGAACCAGGTTGGGTTCTCTTAGCTCTGAGTGCTTGGGGATGCAAGTCAATGTAGATGTGCTTTTGCAGACTCGCATTTCTTCTTAGAGTAGACGGCTGAGTTCATAGCTGTGAGTGAGGCCCTCCCTGCCTGGGAGTTTAGAAGAGACGGCAGAGAGTTTGAAACGTAGCTGCTGTCTACGATCTCCTTATAGAAGTATAGAAGCTGCTGTCTACGATCTTGCTTATAGAAGTGCCAATAAATATCCATTGACCAAATAAATCGAATGGCTGCAGGCTACATGATGGCTGTGAGGAAAAGGAGAACTCTTTAGGGAAACCAAGATTCCAAAGTGGGCTTGGAAGATCACAGCTCTGAGCTTGTGGTAACCATGGCTGTGTTTTGTCGTAGGGAATCGGATTTGGGGAAAAGACCTGAAGGGTATACAGCTATGCCATGTGACCTGGTCTGCAGACAGTAAAATCTTACTTTTTGGAATGGCAAATGGAGAAATACACATTTATGATAATCAAGGAAATTTTATTGTAAGTTTATATATACATATATATTCATTATTCTATTAGTATAATTTTATATGGTTATTTTATGTCATTTATATATGCATGTTCTTATGATAGTTACAATAATTTATAGAATTTTTCTTCAGTTTTAGTTTTCTAATCATTAAATAATTTTAAAAGTTAAAAGACAAATCCTAGATTTTCTTGGGTGTATGTGGTGCCGTGAAAGGGGCTGGCCCCCACAGACTCATCTGTTTGAATGCTTAGTTGCCAGGGAGTGGAACTGTTTGGGAAAGATCAGGAAGTGTGGCCTTGTTGGAGGAGGTATGTCACTGGCAATGGACTTTGAGGTTTCCAAGTCTAGTGTGTCTCCCTCTGCCTGGTGCCGAGGGATCAGGACGTAAAACTCTTAGCTCCAGTACCACACCTGTCTGCTTCCAGCCATGATGACCATAAGAGCTGCTTTGGTCGTGGTGCTTCCTCACAGCCATAGGGCAGTGGCCAGGGCAGGGTGGGGCTAGTCGCTGTTGTTTTGAGAGGGTCTTACGTAGACCAGGCTGGGGTTTGTTGCATCGCTGAATTTTGGATTATCCTGTCTCCACCTCCTGAGTTCTCGGGTTTATAGGAGTGCCCTCCACCATGCTCAGTCTTTTGCAGACATTGACTATAACACAAGGCTTCTTGAATGGTAAGTGGGCTTTCTATTCTACTAAGCTACATTCCTAGCCCAAGTGTAGTTCCTGTAAGGCGAATTAACATAGAGAGTGTAGACTTTAGTCCTGATTTCCTGTTGCTGGATAGGACAGGATGGCAGCGCACTGGTGCTGAAGGATAAGGAGTAGGACGATACGCTGGGTTAAGTTTGTTTTTTTTTTAAAGGCTTCTGGTGCCTGAATCAATGTTTATATGCAGGATGTTGTAGGAGACTGTTTGTTCCCTGCTGCTCAGCCCTGAAATAACCACATAGAAACTGTATTAATTAAATTACTCCTTGGCCCATTAGCTCTAATGTCTTATTGGCTAACTCTTACATCTTAATTTAACCCATTTCTATTAATCTGTGTATCTCCATGTGGCTGTGGCTTACCGACAAGGTTCTGGCGTCTGTCTCTGGTGGCGGCTCCATGACTTCTCCTTACTCTGCCTTCTTTCTCCAAGCATTTAGTATAGTTTTCCCCACCTAGCTCTGCTCTACCCTATCACAGGCCCAAAACGGCTTCTTTATTAACTTTATTAATGGTATTCACATCATACAGAGGGGAATCCCACATCAGTAGGATACCACAGTTATTTTTGTAGTAGCCAGAACTTGTTTGCTAAAAGAATGGTAACTGATTTACTACATAAGGGATAAAAATCAATTTCTAGGAAGAAGGTAAAAGTAAGTTAGCTTTATGTAAAATGGTTAGCGTGTGGGAATCCGTTCAGCCAATTAGCTGTTGGGGGACCGGCCCTTTGGGCATGGTCTGAGTTGCTACATTCCAATGATAAGCTACAAGAGAGAGTGTGCTCACTCTGCTGTTCTGGCTCCCCTTCAGGGAACTGAACCCTGGTCTGTGCAGACTACACCCAAAGGGCTGGTTACCAAAAACTAATTGTCTGAATGGAGTCCCACAATAGGTTAGTGTTGATTGTCAACCTGGAATGACCTAGATTCACATCGGACACAAAGCTCAGTACATTCTGGGAAGGAATTATGGAGATTGAGGTTAGCCTCTGAGGGTGTCTGTGAGGGATTGGTTGTGTTCATTGATGTGGGATGGACCATTCTTGGTGCTGGCTTCCTTCCCTCTCTGTTGCCCCAGACTTGTCTGTTGTCTGTTGTAGACTATAGATGCTTCGATTTCTTTCCCTCCCGCCCTCCCGCCCTCTTTCTCTTTCTTTCTTTCTTTCTTTCTTTCTTTCTTTCTTTCTTTCTTTCTTTCTTTCTTTCCTTTTTTCTTTCTTTCTTTCTTTCTTTCTTTCTTTCTTCCTTCCTTCTCTTTCTCTCTCTCTTTCTTCCTCTCCTCTTCTCTCTTCTTCCCTCCCCTCCCCTCCCCTCTCCTCTTCTTTCCTTTTCTTTCTTTCTGTGACATGATCGTCTCACTACATAGTCTCTGGTTTTGAACTCATGATCTTCTAGTATCATTTTAATCTTATTAAAAAACTTTAAATATTAGCATAGATTTTTTTAAAATATGTTTTGAGCTTAGGTCTCCTATATTATTGAGACTGACCTTGTATTTGCTGTGTAGCCCAGGTTGACCTCAAACTTGAGATCTTTTCTGCCTCAGCCTCTGGAGTGCTGAAATAACAAGCATAAACCACCACACTCATCTCTGTGTATTTTTGTTCTTATTTTATGCATGGGGAAAAAATGGAGAGTCAGGTGAGTAGTTTATCTAGGTTTGGTGACCCAGTAAGTTACAAAGCTTGCATTTATAGCCAGATTTCACATCTGGCTATATTTTATTTTCATTGCTTTTCCTTCAGTACTTCTGTAGGTTAAATTACATATTTTAAAATGCAATTATTAAGGCTAAGCTAACTACTTCTACCTAGATGAAAATGAAATTGAATTGTTTGGTGAATGTCACTGGAGCAATCAGTATCGCTGGGATTCACTGGTACCATGGCACAGAGGGCTATGTGGAGCCGGATTGCCCATGCCTGGCAATTTGTTTTGACAATGGGAGATGTCAAATAATGAGACACGAGAATGACCAAAGTAAGTAATTTTTTTAAGTTGGAGAAGTTTAAAAATATTTTTAAAAATTATTCTTATGATTATAAAGTTCCCTAGGCTAAGTGTGACCCCAGTTGCCACATTTATCCTTTATTTTATTTATTTATTTATTTTTTACTAGATCCGATTTTGATTGATACGGGCATGTATGTGGTTGGTATCCAGTGGAACCACATTGGCAGTGTGCTAGCTGTGGCAGGCTCTCAGAAAGTAGTCACGCAGGACAAAGATGTCAACATTGTGCAGTTTTACACGCCATTTGGTGAGGTAAATGTGCCTCAGACTTACCTTCCCGTTTAACAGGCGCAGCAGTAAGTGGGGGAAATGAACAGAAAGGACAGCTCGCTATGCTTCCTTTGCGGGACATTTGAGTGGCAGCCTCCAGATGCCAAGTGTGTGTCTGGATGGTATCTTCTAAGTCTTTATTATAGTTACTCTCTTATAATCTGTATGTTTACAAACCTGAATGTTTGATGTAGGGAATTGCCATGAAATAGCTAGTTAGGATATTCTCTCTGTGAGCCAAATTAATATCTCTTTCTAATCAATGACTTTTTAGTTTTTTTTTTCTTTTGAGACAGGGCTTTACTATGTAGCCCTGGCTATCCTGGAACTTGCTTTGCAGACTAGGCTGACTTCGAACAGAGATCCACCTGCCTTTGATTTCTGAGTGTTAGGATTAAAGGCATACACCACTACATCTGGCATGATGATTTATTTGTAAAAAAAATGTATCTTAATAATAAGTCATAAATGATAAATACTAAAATGTCAGCATTGTTTTCATAAATACGTATTATCCTTCTTGGTGGTGTTATTAATACATTTAATTTTTAGAATATTCTGTAGCAGCATTGGCACACTTGAGTAATAATTTGTTCACTATAACTTTACATTTCGTTTTTCCCTAGCACCTGGGTACTTTGAAAGTCCCGGGAAAGCAGATGTGCTCGCTGTCTTGGGAAGGAGGCGGACTGAAGATTGCTTTAGCTGTTGACTCCTTTATATATTTTGCAAATATTCGACCTGACTATAAGGTATGAAGAGCAGTTATAAAACTTTTTTAAAAAGCTAAATCCATTAGAGCTTTTTAAGTAAGAAACTTGTAGAAAGGCGGCTTTTGTGTGTGAAGCTCTTAAAATTAGTAAACAGCAACTTTTCCTGAATACCGTGTATTTAACTTTAGTCTTAAAGTTAAAATGACTTTAAGAATCAAGACCTCGGCTGAAAACAGCTCGCCACTCACGATAGTAATTGAAAGGCTGATTACAGGGTATGACCGAGATGAAAGGGAACAGTATAGCATAGCAAAGTACACACAGCACAACACACATAACACAGGACAGCACAGTGCCATACACACAACACACACAATACACACAGCACAGCACACACAGTACAGTAAATACAGCACAGCACAGCATAGAACAGTACACACACCACAGTGCAGTACAGCAGACACAGCACTGCACACAAAACACACAGCACAGCAATGCAGCATACACAGCAACACAGCACAGCATACAACACACACAGCACAGCACACACAACACAACATACACAGTACACAGCACAGTTGTATACAACTGAACACACAGCACACACAGCACAGCACATACAGCACACACAGCACACACAGCACAGCACACACAGCACACAAAGCTCAGCATGCACAGTACAGTGCACACACAGCACACACAGTGCACACAGCCCTGTGTTTGAGTAGAATAAATGGAAGAAAATAGATTTTTCTTACAGAAGTATTCCAGATTGCATACTGCCTCTCTTAGAGGTGGAGCTTCCCATCCTTATAGCTTAGAAAAGGAAAAAGAAGGGAGCTCTTCAGTGACAAAGCCTGGCAAAGTACTCTCTGGCCAAGTGATGAGGGTTAACATCCTCAGTGATGTCATGTGGAGATCATAAACCCTTCATGTGACATGAGAGGAGCAGGCATGTTCAGTTCTGGTCTGCCTACAAACCAGTAACTATGTAAGCTTGAGAAAAATACCAGACAGACCCAAACTGATGGGCACTGATTTCAGCTGAGGTCATCAAATACAGGGGGACTGAGAAACCATCACAGTTCGAAGGAGCCCAGGAGACATGACAGTGGAGTATAATGTAGCCACCATGAGATTCTGGGATCTCAGAGGACATTAGGGAAAGCTGATGAAGAGTGTGGAGTCTAGTGATGCTGGGTTCTTAGCTCAGGCAAATGTGTCACAGCCATGTATAATACTAACGACAGGGAGAATGTTTGAAGGCTTTTGGGAACTTTGTACCTTTTTAACTTTTTTTATAAATCTAAAGTCTTTTAAAGTCAAAGTTGATGTTAGTGAGTGGTATGAAAAGTCTACATGGCCGAGCTTTCAGTAATATAAGCAGAGTGTTGATGATGAGTATAATGTACCCAAGACTCCATATGAATGTTCAAGCATGTTAGACAGAGGGAAAACTGTGTGTGCACACGTTCTGTTCTCCGTGGGGACTGTGGTGCAGACATTCAGTGAATGGCTGTAACTACAAGATCCATACATGATTACTACTCAGAAAGCTGGGGTAGGGCTTCTGCATTTGTTTTGGATAAACAATGTAGAAGGATTTGACTGTAAAAACGTTCTGTAAAATACATGGATGGGGAAAAGACAAAGCACTTACTTTCTGAGTTTTGTCTTGGAGACCCAGAAATCAAACTCCTGATAGCAGTTGATCACTTTCTGGGCCCATCCCCAAAGCAGGGATTAACTATTGAAAATTTTTAGCACTGAAGCTTAATCTTTGCAAATTAAGGAAAGTTAGACAAGCTAAACTTATTTTTGTAGAATATTTTTTAAAAATGTCTTTTATTATGATTTTTAGATTTTTTTGATAATAAGAAAGGATCTATTTTTTGACCCTGATACAGCAACTGTTACATTAGTTCTAAAGTAACAATAAAATAATGGGACTTTCTCTCCCAAACTAAATAGTCTATCTTCCTTTTCTTTCCTCCCCACTTCTGTTCCTTCCCTTACTCCATTCCTAGTGGGGCTATTGTTCAAATACTGTGGTTTATGCGTATACCAGACCCGATCGTCCTGAGTACTGTGTTGTCTTTTGGGACACAAAAAACAATGAGAAATACATTAAATATGTGAAGAGTCTCATTTCCATCACCACTTGTGGCGATTTCTGCATTTTGGCTACGAAAGCTGATGAAAATCACCCTCAGGTAGGGACCCCTTAGTATCTTAAGATACAGATGTGTTTGCAATGGGCAGAACTGGTCTCTAGCTACCCACCACCTCAAGTGTGGGCACTGGCAAGGATAGAACATTAACTCTCTTGGCCACGTCTGTCTGAACCTGTTTTGGAGAGCTGGATCCATGTTTCTGTGTTCTCTGATTCTTTTTCCTAGCAGCCGCGCATTGGCAGGTCATGCTAATGGTTTTCTTACTGGAGCTTTTGCCTCTGAAATATGTCACACGTGAAAAATGAATATCTGGATGTCCAGCAGAAATACTGATGAAATTACAAAAGAGTTTGAGTAGCTTTTTGACTTTGATAAATCTATTATTAGTTGGAGATACAGTTCCTTTAAAACTAATATCATAACATAAAATAAAGAATATAAGTGATGTGTTTTTGTAAAGCATGCCAACAATTTGAGAATTTTCAAAAACATGTATTTGAAAAGAAGACGATCAGTGTCTTTGGCTGGGTTATGATTTAAAAGCACAGAGGTTTTATTAAAGGCAATTATTTGGACAGCCCCATTTGGCTTTGTTTTCTCCTGACACACACTAAGACAGCAGTACAAGTATTTTTCAAATAAGTACAGACCCATAGGGGTCAGAAAAGATAGGTACTGACAGCGAAGTGTGGAGATGGGAGAGTAAGTGGACGGCGGAGGTGACTTTCACAGACCTAAGGACGGCATTCTTGGGTTATGGCTAGAGGCAACTGGTTAGAGGATGCTGAAGAAGCCGAGGATTTGAAGCGCCTTGTTGGGCAAAGATAATCTGGGAGGACCAGAGATGATATAAGAAACAAAACCTCCCCAAGCCACAAAAAGACATGGAATAGGCAAGTTTCCTGATCTCCTCTAGACAGAACCTACAGGTTGTGGTCTTGTTGCCATTTACCAAGAGTGAGGTTTGGCCGTCAAGTGGGACCAAAGTGAAAATAAGGGCTGGAGGGAAGGACCAGTGGGTAAATGCACTGGATGTTATCCTGGAGGACCTGGGTTAGATTCTCAGCACCCACAGGGTGGTTAACAGTCTGTAACTCCAGTTCTAGGGGATCCAGTGCCCTTTTCTGGCTTCCATGGGTACTGCACAGACAAACATGCAGACAAAGCATCCACACATGTAAAAGAAACAAATAAGTATGCATGCATGCACGTAAAACAGCAATTGATAAAAGTAAAGGCCAAGAATTTGAAAGCAAGCAGGGAAGGGGATATGGGAAGGTTTAGAGGGAAGGAAGAAATGATATAATCATCTCAAAAATAATAATAAATACAAACCTAAAAACCATAGCAGTTATAGAAAAAAAATCTTTTTACATTTATTTGAGTGTGTTCATGCTCTTGTCCTCCATCACACTTGTGGAAGTCAGAGGACAAGTTTCAGGAGTCTGTTCTCTCTTTCCATCATGGAGGTTTGAAGGACTGGACTTAGGTCATCAGGCTGGGCACAAGCCCTTCCACTTGCCAAGCCTTCTTACAAGCTACAAGCCCCAAGTAAAATCTTAAAGAGAAAAAGAATTTCTGTGCTGAATCCTTAGCATGGCTGGTGGGGACAGACTCTGCTGAAAGTCAGACAGGCGTTAGCATTGTCCTGCAAGCACTGCCCTCCTAGTCGCCCCGTGCTCTCTGGCATGGTTCCCAGAGCACAGGCGATCGAGCTTCCAGCCTTGAGGTTACAGGCTGTGAGAGCCGTTCCTGGGCAACCTCGTTAGCTCCGGAGAAAGGACCACATACAGACTGAGAACATTCTCTCTCTCTCTCTCTCTCTCTCTCTCTCTCTCTCTCTCTCTCTCTCTCACAGGGTTTTTTTGTGTAACTTTAGAGCCTGTCTTGGAACTTGTTCTATAGATCAGACTGGCCTTGAACTCTTAGGGATCTGCCTGCCTTTGCCTGGGATTAAAGGCGTGCACCACCACCGCCAGGCTAGATTGAGAATCTCTTAAAACAGACCTGCCCAGTTGTCTCACAGCAACATCATGGTTGGTGAGGCCCACTGGTAAAGTAGGTACCACGTAGAGTTTTAGCATCCTACTCCTAAATATAGAAGATGGGAAGGCAGCACAGACATTGGGGATAATGTCCAAGGTAACAAGAGATGCTAAATATAAACGCAAGTAGAGGGAGAAGAATTTGGGGGAAACAAAGACTAGGAGGGGAACAGTTCAGGTCATTTTTTTTGTTTTTGTTTTTTGTTTTGTTTTGTTTTGAGAGACAGGATCTCTCTATGTAGCCCTAGATGTCCTGGAACTCGATGTGTAGGCCAGGCTAACCTTGAACTCACAGAGATACTCCTGCTTTTGCTTCCTGAGTGCTGGGATTAAAGGCACATGCCAGCATGCCCAGCCATCATTTATTTATTTGTTTGTTTGTTTATTCATGTGTGTGTCTGCTTGTCTGTGCAGCACATGAGTGTAGGTGCCCACAGAGTCCAGGAGAGGGTGTTGGAACCCTTGGAACTGGAATTATGGATGGGTATTGGGAACTGAACCCTGGCCCTCTGCAAGAACAATAACTGCTCCTAACCATTTAGCCATCACTCTGGCCCAGGGAGAACAATTCAAAGGCACTGTTGACTCGTAAGAACAGTCATTGGTATCCTTAGTTCAGAGATGTCCATCCATAAAACAAGAAAAGGATATGGGATATGGAAATCACAAAGATGATAATCACATTGAAAATTTGCAAGAAGGCTGAACAGTGAAATGGAGGAAATATTAATGGAACAAACAGACAAGGAAATGGGAAATAGTGAGGATGTCATGAAGGTTTAACGTTTGAATAATAGTGCTTAAAAGAGCGGACAGGCAACATGGAGGACGGGGACGAGGGGCTGGCCCAGTGGCTGAAACCTTGTGCAAGTGTGAGGGCTGGAGATCGGATCCCTGACACCCACATAGAAGCTGGGGGCCTGGTGGTATACCTGTAGTCCCCTCACAGGGAAGGCTGAGACAGGAAGTCCCTGGGGCAGTTGGCTGACTATAGTCAAATCAGTCAGTTGGGTTCAGCAAGCGAGCCTGCCCTGTAAGTCAACTGCAGCATGATGAGGAAGTCAACTTCTGCCCTCCACATGCGTGTTCACAAACAGGCTCTCCCACGTGTGAGCACACATGCAGAGACGTACCCCAACTGGAGCAAAATTCCTTTGAGGCTTTCGATTAGAAGTAACCTGGTTCAGTGACTGACAGTGTCTCCACATCAGAGAATGCGCTGTGAATTTCAGAGCACTTGGGATGAAGCCGGCACAACACAGTACAATGAACCCATAAAACAACACCCTCACCCACAGTCCTACCGCTTTTCAAGAGAAAAGCAAGCTTCACAAGATGAAAAGTTAGGCAGGCTTTCAGCTAATTAACAGCAAAGCTTCGGAGAATCGCCCTCAAAATTCTGAGAGAAAATGATTCCATGTTTAGGATTTCTCATTGAGAGCAAACTCCTGTGTGAGTGCAGTACTGGTCTTTTTAAATGTGCAAGATCGACAAAATTTTCCTCTCAAGCTCATCTGTGTTATTTCCGGGTAAAGGGCACTAAGATGAGCTATAGAAACCAAGAAAGAGGAGAAAAACCAGAAGCCCAGCCCCTGTGGTAAAGAGTGTCCCAGCTGACCCAGGGCACACCCAGGGGCTCCAGGCAGAGGACAGGCTCCGAGGGAAGGTCAGGTGGATCAGTCACTACCTCGCCTCGTGTGTCAAATCCATTGAGAGAAGATGTACTTAATCGGGCATAACTGGAGAGTCAAGTTAGTAATCAATACACAGAGAGCTAAGTATAGAGAGGAAAACCAAACACAGTTCCCAAACCTGTTTTTCTTAACGAGGGCAGTGAAGTCTGCCAATAGGGAAGTCATGATGTTCTGGAGCGATCAGCTGTCAGAGCTCTTGTGTGGTCGAAATGATGTGATCGCTGAGTTTTGCACTTCAGAAACTCCTACCCCAGATATTCAGTCTCAAATTTGGATCCCAAATCCTGAAAAGTTATGTTTAAAGCAGAAAGCTGTGGTCATGGATGTGGGGGGCAGACTTTTGTGTTACTCTGAGGCAACAGACAGCCTATCTTAAGTAGTAGAAAGGTTAAATTTTAGTCTTTTATCATTTAATGTTTATAAAATTAAACAAGTTTTGAGACATTGATAGGAAAACCAAACAACACAGAATTGATATGAAATTATTGAGCCGATTAGGAAAAGATGAAATTGCCAACTTAGAACAGTATAATGTAAAGTGTACATCGTGTTTTTTCTAATATGAGTTATGATGATTGTTTGAATATAAGCCATTGTTCCTGAATTAATTGCATTTTTTAATTTCTCATACTGTTCATATATTGCTTCAAAGGAGGAGAATGAAATGGAGACCTTTGGTGCAACGGTAACAAATCACTCCTGTTCTGTGTGGTTGGATAGATGGGGATGGTGAGAATGAGTTAGGCCGCTGTCATATCAGGAAGCTTAGCTGTAAATGCCACGTGTGTCTAAAGTGTTCTCTGAAACAGTAGTGCTCTGTTATAGTGAGAGTCAACCTGGCTGCTAGTTCGTCTTTTTTAATAGTCAGTGCTGAAGATGACCTTTCTTTTTGTCTGCTCTTCTTTGTATGGAACCGTTTTTATCAAAGATTCCCAGTTAGCGATGCTTGAAAGGGATAAGCATGATATATCCTTATTGCTCACAGGCAAGGACTCTGAACTTCTTGCAAGGACTCTGATATTCTTTTTCTTCTGTTTGTTCACAGTTTGTGTTAGTTCTTTGCAATTCTATTGGCACACCCTTGGACCCGAAATACATTGATCTGGGTAAGCAAATGTTAGCATTTACTTCCTTCCTGATCGGGTTTCGTTTGTAACACTAATTAAAAACATCCTAAAGGCCTGGAGGTATGACTCATTGTGTCAGAGTGTTTGCTGTTTTAGCAAAAAGACCTGAGTTCAAATCCCCAACCACCCACATAATCTGGGCATGACCACATGTGTTTGTAACCCCACACTGGGAATTGAGAAAGGTGGATCCCGGGAACTCGCCGGCCCAACAGCCTAACTGAAACAGCTTCCAGTTCAGTGAAAGACCCCGTCTCAAAAAAGGTGGGTAATGATAGAGAAGAGAGACACTCCACATCCTTCTCTGGCCCCTGTGTGCACACACATGAGTGTGCACATCCACACACCATTGTGTCTTGGATCACACCTTCTTACCCATACTGGTGATATTAATTATAATGATATTCTCTGAAATAAAAATGGCCGTCCCTCTGGTTGCCTTGGGCAGCACCACTTGGTGCCTGTTCTCATGGCTGTTCCCAGCGCCTCCCATCGCTCTGGAAGCGTGATGGCTAATACAATACCTGTAAGACTCCTGTGCCTAAAGTCCATAGTAATCCCGTAATTGCCACCATTTGTCTACAAGGGGATACAGTTGTATAGGAATTGGTGTGCAATGCAAATTAGTCTATAATAAACAGGGTTATAGAAAGAATTTTGCTTTTAAAACACTTTTATTATTAATAAACTGCTTGTAAATACTTCTCTGCCATAAAAACACTTCAGCTGCTTATAAAATAAGCTTTATTTTTCCAGAGCTTTCTAATGAAGCCAGGCTATTGATAGAGAAAGTCTTAAAAATTTCCCCTTACTTATTTCTGAGGACATTTGTTTACTTTAGTTTTACCCTTCTCTCTATCCAATAGATATAAAATAACACTCTGCATAGTTTCAAGTCTCATCCTAAGAAATTTATTAAAAGCCATTAAAATATTTTTTTTTTTGCAATTTCAACTTCCAAAATAAATATTTTTTTTTTATAAAATGTACTTTCATGTATTGGAAATGGTGTGACAAGAATAATTCGGTCCAAAAAAAATTTTGAAAATCCATTGAACTATTTTCTGACCCTGAGAAGCAGCCATTTATTTTCAGATTAGATATTGGGTCTTAAAAAGCTCATCAGTGGGCTGGAGAGAGAACATGTACATGGAGCCAGAGGAAAACTTTCAGGGGGGATTTTCTCCTCCCACTGTATGGGTTTTGGGGATTGGCTCAATAGTGAGAGTCCTTACCCACTGAGCCATCTTGCTGAAGCAAAGTACTATCTCTTTAAGATGTGAATTCTGCTAATCTTGAGATTATATATTTTTTTTCAATATCAAAAGTTTAAATGTTGACTCATTTGTTATAGGGTTAAACTCAAAGTAATTTTTAATGCCAGGTAGATTATTTTAAAAACAAAACTAAATGTAAATCCTTCCGCTTCATAAAACGATGAATATTTGAAAACTTGACAATTTGTATTTCTGAGGTTCAAAACCTTCCGGCTTATAGTCTCACTGGGTGAGACTTTAACCAACAGTTCGCTCACTGACCCGCAGCAAGCGGCTGCAACGATGCAGCATTTTCTTCCACTTGTATGCTACACAATTACCTTTGAAAGTCTCTACGAAATTTCCATGAAGGTAGGACAACGAAACACACAATAACTGTGTCATGGGGCACGCACTCATCTGGAATGCATTGTTTTGGTTTGTTCTTTATCTTCCCTCTTGACAGTTTCTGTAGAAATCTAAAGAACCTTGACATTATGCAAAGTCTGGTTGGCAGGGCTCCTCTGTGCTCAGTACGAGGAGTGCAGGTCCCTCTTTGGGTGCTGTCCCATGGAGCTCTCATTATCACTTTGTGTACTGCTTCCAAAGTACTTCCCAACCTGCCCTGTGCTTGCTGCTTTCTTTGTCTGACTTCTTAAAGATCTGTGTCTAGTTAACTTCCATATCCCCAGTCTCTAACAGCGCTTTCCCTGACAAATGTATCTTGAGTGCATGGACAGTGTTTATGTCATGTAAACTAAAAGTGATTATTTAGCAAACCACCAAAAGTACAGTGTTTCAGACACTGTAATAGTCCAGTGGGAGATGATTAAAGAAATTATGACTTCTCTTATGGGCTGTATAAATATATAAGGCTTGGTTAATCAGTTGAGCAACAGTTTACTACTTCTGTACTGTGTTCCATGTGCCAGATATTTTATTGATGACTGGGATAAATGGATGTTGGTGTGGAAGAATGCCTTGTAAGAAATACCTATATGTGCCAGGCCCAAGTGTGGTGGTGCACACCTTTAATCCTAGCACTCAGGAGGCAGAGGCAAATGGGTCTCTGTGAGTTCGAGGCCAGCCTGGTCTATGGGCAAGTTCCAGGACAGCCAGGGCAACACAGAGAAACCCTGTCTTGAAAAACAAGAAAGAGAGAGAGAGAGGGAGGAAGGGAGGGAGAGAAGGAGGGAGGGAAAGAGGGAGGTAGGGAGGGAGGAAGGGAGGGAGGGAGAGAAAGGGGAAGAGAGAGAGGGAGGGAGGGAGGGAGAGAGAGAGAGAGAGAGAG